TTGGGAGAGAGAAAGGCCCCTTTAGTCTGCCTCTGATTGTGAAGGTAACAGCTGCTGCTGAGAGAAGCACTGGAAAGCCGGGTATGGTGGTGCAGGCCTGTTATCCTAGTTACTTGGGAGGCTGAGACAGGAAGGTGAAAAGTTAGAAGGTAGCATGGGCAACTTAGCGAGACCCTGTCTCAAAATAAAAAATAGAAATGACCAGGAAGGAAGCTCAGTGGTGGAGCACATCCCCAGGATGGCAAAAAAGAGAAAGGAAGAGAAGAAAAGAAAAGAAATAGCACAAGAGATCAGTATCTTGGTTTTTGCTGCTTTTCAACAGCCTCCTTAGACTTCAAAGCTGAACTTTCTTTTCCAGATTCCAACTCCTTCAGCCCATGAATTAAAGTCCCCTAGAGGGACATTCTTATCCCTTTAAAAACCTTAACTATGACCTACAAAATACCATAATTTCATCAAGACAATGTTCTCTAGCCACGTAAACCCACTTACACATATTTATTAGCATTCTCTATACCAAGGAGGAGGGGGCTAGGGCAGGGGAAGGAGTGGGAGTCGAGTCATAAGTGCGGATAGACAGGCTGAAGCTTCACCTTCTGGGTCATCGCGGATCACCAGGAGCCCATTTCTGCACACAACCTTCCCAGTGGTGGCATCTAGGAATATTAGCGATGGAATGTTGGAAATTCGGTATTTGTTCCAAAGTTTAAGCTGTAAAAAGAAAAATAAAAGGTCAGGGTTAAATCCAAGCCAGATTAATTGCAGAGTTCTTTTGAGACCCTCGGGAGATGAGTGAGAAAATTACTAAAGTGTAAATAAAGAAATAACTGGGCTAAAGCAGGGACACTGACTACAATCCCCATGCTCCCACGTGGTAGATACACAGCAGGAGAACCCAGACCCCACCCAGGCTCAAGCTGTGACAGAGGATGATGGAGGACCAGGCTTCTCCTCTCCTGGCTCTCCCACAGGCACATTCTCTGAAACGCATGGTCATGAAGATGGATGACACGTGTTTGACACAATCAGACCTCCACCAGGTGGTTAAGCAAGGAAGCGAAGCTTCTCCACCCACCAGCAGCCAATTGCTCCCCTGCTTTCCCATTCTGTGGTGTCCCCTTAGCCCCATGGGAGAGGGACATCTTTTCCAACAAGAGCAAGTGGTTCAAATATGCCCCTCATCCCCTCATCCCCTCACCAGACCTGCTGCTACAGATGTGTGCCATTTGGCCTACCACACACAGGGCAGTGATATCCCATACCAGCCCCAACCCACAGCTCTAGGTGCCACTCCAAACAACCTTGGGGCTGCTGGCAGACTGTTCACGTTGGCTGTGCAAACTGTCAGAAGCCCTGGGTCTAGGAGGGATGAAGCTGAGAAAACCTGAACATAACAGCCCAGGCGGGAAGCCAGATATGTGTGGCCCATGTTTGCTCACTGCCATGGGTGAGAACCGTTCTAGGTGGGCCTGGGTATTCTGAAACTTAACTGCCAAGCCCCCAAAGCAAGACCATTAAATAAAAATGTTGGGCTGGTAACACATCACCAGAGAGGAAAAAAATGAAGAAAGATGGCCCAAGGGCCCACTGGTTCGGCAACTCAGCTGTGAGCCTTCCTTCTAGACAGGGAGGTTAACTGCTTGGGCACTGGAGGAACAGGACCCGGATGTGACACAGGATAACAGGCATCAGAAGGCAGACTGCAGGTAGCAGAGGGAAAGGCACATGTGGCCATGACTGTCCCCCCTCCCCAACGGGGTACTGGTGACTGAACCCAGGGCCTCGCACATGCTAGGCAAGTGCTCTACCACTGAGCTCCCCAGCCCTCCACCAATTCTTTTTAGTTTAATTTTGAGATGAGGTCTCGGTTAAGTTGCCCAGGCTGGCCTCAATGTCGTGATCCTTCTGTCTTAGCCTCTGGGTATAGGCGTGCCAAGAAACATTAGGCTTCCCTGTCCATAAAGACCCACATCTTAGCAGGAGAGGTTGTGGGACCTCCACCTCAAACTGGGTGGGCCCTGCTTGCAGCTGCCTGTTTTTCCCAGCCCCACATTTCCGGTGGGTTCACAAAACAGCCTCTGCAGAGACAGTTTCAATGACTGATATTACATCATTCCGGAGAAACCTGATCCTGGGCTAACATTCTGAAGAGATTGGACAACAAGCAAGCATCCTGCCCCTGGGATCAGCTTCCTTAAGTTTGCTGTGCACGTATCCAGCCAGGAAGGTAGGGAGGAAAAAAGAAAAGAAAGAAGAAAGGGGGAAAAAGAGAGAGAAGGAAAGTTAAAATGACTGATGTTTTTGTTTTTGTTTTTTTGGTTTAAAAAGTAATTCGTGTGTGTGTGTGTGCGTGCGTGTGTGTGTGAGAGAGAGTCAGGGGAAATAATTTCTGGAAAAAATTGGGAAAGCCAGCAAAACACAAAAACAAAAGTAAAAAATGACCATGATTCACCATTTAGGAAAGTTTAACATTTTACATTTCCACCAGTAGCAATGAGACAGCCTACTTCCTAATACCCTCACCAACATTAATTATCACTGACAATAGTTTTCCAATTTTTATTCTTATTTTTTAAAATTTTTTAGTTATACATGGACACAATATCTTTATTTTTTTTTTTAATGTGGTGTTGAGGATCAAACCCAGGATCTCTCACTTGCGAGGTGAGCACTCTACCACTGAGCCATAATCCCAGCCCCAGTTTTCCAATTTTTAAAAAAATATTTTAAAAAATTGTCAATGGACCTTTATTTTATTTATTTATATGTGGTGCTGAGACTTGAACTCAGTGCCTCACACATGCTAGGAAAGTGTTCCTCCACTGAGCTACAACCCCAGCCCTAGTTTTCCAATTTGAGGCTGGCCTTGAACTTGCGACTGATCCTGCCTCAGCCTCAGCCTCCTGAAGGCTGGGATTATAGGCATCCACTGCCACACCTGGTGAGAGGATATTTTAAAGGTAGGATAACATGTGTTGACTGGGATAATCTAGGAGAGAGAGAGAGAGAGAAAATAAAATTGAAGAGAAAGAGAATGGCAAGAACAAAGTCCGTGAATGGGTAAAGCAGTGTGATCTGGGTCATAAATGGGAAGGTGGGGTTGTAGAAACAGCCCATTTAAAAAATTTATACTCTGACTTCAAAGCAGTTTTTTATCTGAATAGAAAGTCATGCTATTTCTAAGTAAAGACATTTCTACTTTTTCTTTTCAATGGTCACACCATTTATTTCCTTTTTTTAAAGAACTATAATGGCTGGAACTTCCAGAACAGTGTTTAGTAGCCAGCATCCTTATCTTCCTACCTGACTATAATGCACATATCTCAACGATCTCACCAGCAAATATAATACTAGTCATTGGTTTGAGATAGATATTCTTTAACATGTTAAGAAAATATTCTTCTATAATTTTTTGACCAAAACTTGAATCAGGATTGTGTGACTATATTATGATGATGATCATGATGATGACAACGATGATGTCTAAGTTGCTGAGACTAGCCTTGAATTTGCAATCCTCCTGCCTCAGCCTCCAGAGTCATCAGGTATACAGGCGTGTACCACCACAGCTGGCTTATTTTAACCTGTTGTAGTATTTTTCATTAGCAGCTCTTCTAAGGTTAAAGTATCCTTGCCTTCTTAGAAGAAATCCTCTTTGGTGTTGGTCCTGTGTATACTGTTAAGGACCGTTAGGATCATATCTTTTCTGGGCATAGGGGTTCCCCCAAGCAAATGGCACCTTAAAACGAGACTCTTTTTGGGTTAACCAGACTGTTCCCTAAAGTAAACTGCAGCCTGTGAGCCTTAAAGAAATAGGGCTGGATATAGGTCAGTGGTAGATCATGTGCTTAGGATGCATGAGGAGGTCGTGGGCCCCATCCTCAGCACCAAAAAACAAACTAACCAACAAAAATAATAACAAGAACTACCAAAAAAAGAATTGGTGGTGGGTCTTTGCTTCCTGGGCAGCCCAGCCTCTCTGACGCTCAGTAGAGATGCCCCACCCCAACAGAAGCTAGATAATGAGGAACTCAAATTACTCTGGGTTCTTCATGTAGAAAAAAAGAATTTTAACATCTTTCTCTGCCTTGCTGCAAACCACCACAGATATATCACTGCTCTCAGAATCCACCTTGAGGATCTAAGAATTTATAACTTCTGTGGCCCTCACTTTCCCTAGGGATCCCATCCCCCTTCTTTCTCATGGGGACTCAGGAAGACAGCAGGTCTTGGCTTGTATTTTACACGGTCATCATTGGATCTTTGTTTCCAAGTAAAGGGCCACTGGTTTAGAGTAAAAAATAACAATTGCTTCTAAACTCGCCTGACACTGAAAAGTCAATCTTTTTATAGACTAGCCCATCATGGTCTAATTTTATACGATCGTGATCTATTTAGGAACTAGTGTCATTCATCAGTGAGCTGTATCTATCTGTGGATGGGCATGGACCATCTTTCTCAGGCTGTGGCATCAAGACTACTTGGTTCTAAAATAGTGTGGAAGGTTCAGGAATACTCATTCCAACCTTATTGATCTTGATACCTGAATCAGGATCTGATTCTTAGGCTTGAAAAGTCATCGGGCCTGTGCTGAGGGTTCCCTCATGCTGCCTGAAAATAATCAAAGTCTGAGTTTAAAGAAATGAATCATTGTGCTGGGGCTGGGGCTGGGGCTCAGTGACAGAACACTTGCCTAGCATGTGTGAGGCACTAGGTTTGATCCTTAGCACCGCACACAAAAATAAATAAAATAAAGGCATGCTGGCCGTCTACAAATACAAAAAAAATTTTTTTTAAAGAATATAAGAAATGAATTCTTTGTGTCTTCATGTGCTTGATACCTCAAATGTTCCCAAAAAGCCTCTGAAGATAACCTTTTTGGGTCACTTGAGGATAAAAGCTAAGGATCTTTTCACCAGGGAAAATACACATACCAAAAAAGTCTGTGTGTAATTTCACAGAGCTCATGAATCCCTTAAAGTCTGTTAGCAGAACCTGCCTGATCATGGGAGGTCTATGGGCCCCAGATAAAGATTCCCTTGTCTTAAGGGTTTATTTCAGTGCAGATCTTGACCTTATCTCCATGGGGAGAACTACATTATTGATTCATCTTTATTCCTGCCATTAAAATCTCCTCCAACAGAATTCCTCATAAAACTTGGAATGAAATCACCATTTGACCAGCTATCTCACTTCTTGGTTTATACCCAAAGGACTTAAAATCATCATATTACAGTGACGCAGCCACATCAATGTATAGCAGCTCAACTCACAATAGCTAAACTATGGAACCAACCTAGGTGCCCTTCAACAAATGAATGGATAAAGAAACTGTGGTGTATATACACAATGGAATATTACTCAGCCTTAAAGAAGAGTGAAATAATGGCATTTACAGGTAAATTGATGGAGCTGGAGAATATCATGCTAAGTGAAATAAATCAGTCCCAAAAAACCAAAGGCTGAATGTTTTCTCTGATATGTGGATGCTAATTCACAATGGGCAGGGAGGTTAGGGAAGACTAGAGGTACTTTAGGTAGGGAGGAGGGAGGGAAGGGGAGCAGGTATGGGGGTAGGAAGGATAGGAGAATGAATCAGACATTGTTACCCTATGTACATATATAACTATATAACTGGTGGGATTGTCCACATTGTGTATAACCAGAAGAATAAGAAATTATTTATACTCCATTATATATAATGCATCAAA